GAATGAGCATACACAAGCTTAAATTGCAGTTAAAGATGGAAGCTAGAACAGTTTAGTATTTGTCTTCAAGGGCTAGTTCTTTGCTTTGTGGCGTTGTGCATTATGTGTTGGTTCTCTTGGGAATTGCGTTTGGAATACTGAAGATAGTGATATCAACAGACTCAACCTGTGTGTAATGGAGATATTATATGCTATATAATGTTCCTCTGCCTTTTGTAGGAGCTATTACAAATGCACAGCTGCTGGATGCCCAGTGAGAAAACATGTGGAGAGGGCATCACATGATCCCAAAGCTGTAATAACAACATACGAAGGCAAACACAATCACGATGTTCCCTTGTCAAAGTCTAGCAGCAATCATGACAGCCAGCCTCGGTTCAGACCAGATGAAACAGACTCCATCAGCCTCAATCTTGGTGTTGGAATCTCATCTGATGGACCTGACCACACTTCCAACGAGCATCAGCGTCAGAATCAACAACTCGTCAACCAATCTCACCCTAATGGAGTCGGTTTCAGGTTTGCTCATGCTACTCCCATGTCATCCTACTATGCCAGCTTAAATAGCGGCACGAATCAGTATGGCCCGAGAGAAACTCAGAATGAGACTCAAAATGGTGACATCTCGTCCTTGAATCATTCATCTTACCCATATCCACACAACATAGGGAGAATACAATCGGGTCCTTAGAAGACAAAAGGAAGCAAAGGTATTGGATTCTGCTTAGGTTAGGAAAGGGAATGAGACCACCTTATTCTATATAATTCCTTTCTCTCTACAGAGAGCTGATCTGGATTCAAATTATCTCCACCATATATATATATTTTTGTATTTGTCACCTGTTTTGAGTTCCAAATTGTGATGTAAAAATACACAAGATGATGATGTTAATGCTTTTTGTTTAACAAGACACAACAATATATATTATTACAAGTCATACCTAAAAAAAAAAAAAAATTATTACAAGCTCTTTCTACTCGTCTCGATAAGTTTTGTGGAAGAAACAAAGGTGCAAACAAATACTCGATCCAATACAATTCAGGCATGTAGCTCATACAGGTCTCCAAGGATCACGTATCAACAACCTCAAGTCTTTTGAATCTTGGAATCTTTTGTGAGCTTTTTTGAGGAGTTTCAAAGCATTCGCCAATGAACCGTTGTATCGACTCTCGTCTCTCTTCTCCTCTGCATAAGATTTCAGATTGAACTCATCTCTGAAATATATATATTTGGTGATCTGCAACAAGTTTCTCTGGTCATGAGGCCAAACATGCCTCGTATCATCCAAAATCACCACTCTACGCTTATCAGCCACAACGAGAGCAAGTGTCTTCTTATCAGGGCTCTGTTCTCTAGCTATCACTCGATCTCCAAAGTATACTTTACTCGGATCAATCAAACTCAAGACGTTTCGAGCGTAGTCGGAAGAGCCCCATTGTGTAAACGGACATGGAGAAAAGCTTGTTGGCTTCTTCTAGAAACTCACGAACAAAAGGTCGTAGCTTTATGAAGAACTCGCTGGGATGGCCTTTGTTGAACCTCCATAGATCTACCCTCGAATCAGCTTCTTCGATTAGATACTTTTCTTTCTGAGAGAGTTCTGAAACTGAAATCGAGTGGACAAGCGTGTGGTCCAAGTCAAGGACTAGGTGAAG